CAAAGAAGTGTCCGTCAATGAAGACGAGGACGAGAGGTAAGCAGATTTCGGTCTATGGAAAGCGAACCTTTTCCCCCGGCAACACACGTATCGGAGTTCTTGCCCGGAGAGGGTGGGCGGATCCTTTTCCATTGTTCTGTGAGTTTTTCTGTTCAATTTCAGATACTCGATGACCACGTTGAGCTTTTCGCCGTTCTATTCCACCCTCTGGGGCGATCCCATCCTCGAGTCTAGATTCGAATTGAACTTCGAATCGTTCCAGACGGAACTTGCTGAACTCCCAGAAATCGGGACTGTGCTTAAATATGCGTCAGTGAGTGACCGAGTGAACGAAACGAGGTCTGCCGAAGCGATCAACGATGATATGCTCCTGACTCTGTCGCAACAATACATGATGGACGACGTGCTCCTGGCGATCTGCACCCTGTTGCAATTGAAGGATCTGAAGAAACCTGAGAAGATGTTCTTAGAGGATCTTCCTTACACGGAGAATTGCCTCCAGCTCGCCGCCTATTTTTTCGCAATAGCCGTTCTGGCCGTCGGGGACGACACGAACTCTCTCGATGCAGAAATGCTCGCGCGAATGTCAAGAGACGAAGTGATTTCGCGTGTCTCGTCGGCGACATCTTCTTGTCCCCAGTCGGAGGACCTACGGAAGCTGGTCGTCAGATTCGCTCAACTGAAGTTAGATCTCTATCGAGCTCAGCTTGTGCAGAGACAGAGCGGTGGAACTGTTGATGTCAGCCGTTTCGGACACGACGAGGTTTATAAACGAGAAACAATACTCGGAATGGCGTTTTGTGAAGATTTGCAAACTCTCCGGGTGGCCTTGAATCTCGCAAGACACTACGACGTCTCGCAGTTTGAAGTTTGTTTCGGTCATCTCGAGCACATGTTCATTAATTCTACGCACGCTTCAGCGATTGAGGACCGCTTGCAGCAAGAGAGCATTCTGGATATCCTCATGGAAGAGAAGGACGCGTTGAAGATCTCGTTGAGACAGAGAGTCTACCCGATACTGATTGGAACCAATTACGATCACATTGCCGTTTATTACGAAATCATGCTGAAATGTTCAGCGAGCGCGTCGGAGAAGAAGGAAACAGAAGCTTACCTCGCCCTGCTGAAAGAGGTAGATGAACATCTCGACGGTAGGTTTTTCTGCTTCTCCAACCATTTGATTTCACAGAATCCGAAACTAATTTTCTATTTCCAACGCGTCCTCGTGCGTCGAACTACAGCTAACAGAATTGATGCATCCGCACGCAGGTGTCGACTTCAAGCGGCTGATCTCCTCCGAAGCTACCGAACAGCGGAAATCTCTCACAGACATAGTCGACATAGAAAACATCGACACCATAGCGAAGATATGCGGTCGATTCAAATCAATCCTCAAAGCCATCAGTAGATCGACGATTATCCAGGTCTTCTTGAAAAATGAATTCGTGGCAGCCGGAAGCTACCCCAAAGAGAGGATGAAAGACCTATTCAAGGAACATCTTAAATATATTGGATATCTATCCCCGAACGACGTCATTGACTTCGTCAAAGATGTTTGTTTCGACCCCTTGATCGCAAGCAGCAAGGTACGCCTCATAATCAGCCTCGCGAAAGAACGCAATCCGCCCTCTATGATTATTGAAAGAGGAACAGATGAAATTCCGCCATTTGACTCGCTCATCTCGAGAATATTTCCTTTGCAGTTGGACCGAGTGCATCGGCTGGAGTTCTTGAAAATTTTCGTGGTTTTTGCAAAACAAAAAGCAAAGCTACCCAGGAAACCGAATACGTCTGACCCACCCTTCACGTGGCAGGATCTCCAACACAAATTACTCGGGTACATGCACCATCTGCAGAAAATAGAGGACGGTTTCGTAGAAGAAATGCTCGACTGCAGTCAGAATCCTGCCCTGGAAGGCTATGTCGAGATGTTCGAGATGACTGCCGGCGAGAGAGATCAGGTGTGTGGACGACCCCTATATTTTTTCCCGACCGGATGATCCGGCTCAATCGACCGATTGAGAGTGAGAGGTGACAGCCTCAGTAAGCTAAGCTCGATTATCCGGCAGTTGCTGAATCTTCTGACGGACTGCACTCTCTCCGAGTGCGATCCTGCGCTTCTGGAGAGCCTTCTGTCCATCTGCCCTGCGTCCGAAGTCAACTATAGACCTGTGGATATCTTTCATGGAGCGACTGTGGTGACATTGGAGAGGTTGAGAAAAGAAGAGAAAGGTGGTCGACATGCTCCGCAGCGTGGATTCGAAGATGACGAAGACATACCCCTGGCGTTTCGGACGAGGAAACCCATCACTGTCTTGAAACGATTGCTCAACACGAGCAGAAAAATCACAGGCAACAGAGCCGATTTCGATCGGGCTGTTGTCGAATCGATACGGAATTTCTGTCTAGACAAAGAATTAGCCCTCTCGGTACGCCTCGCCGTCCTGCGCTCACTCAAAGACAATTCATGGGCTGTTGGCGATGAAGATGAAGCTCTACTCCTCCACCTCGAAACTATGGCGCTCCTTCAAGAAACTTGGCCCGACGTCACCGTGGCGCAATCGGACACCGAAACTCCCCAGGGTCGGGAGAACGTTTTTACCAATTTGCTCGACGCCTCATCCGATGAGGAGCAATACGACACTCTCTGCAAGCTCTTGTCCTCGTGGCCGCCTCTCGAAATCAGGTGAGCTCATCCAAACAACGACTTCATTCCAGGATGGTTCCTCCTCAAAAGAATAGCTCCCGCGAAATCGCGCTCTTTCTGTATTCGGTAACGATTTCAGACCTTCGCCTTGGTATCGAATCCTGATAAAAATGTCGGAGCTGAAAACGGTGACTGCATCGAAGTTGCTGTCTATCCATCGTCAGCACCCCGATCTCACCCTGGAAGAATGCACGGAGGTATTGGAATCATGGACTCCCTTGATAACGCACCAAGATCGCCTGTTGTTCCTGCTGGAGAGCGATCATCCTCAGCTCCACCAGAAAGCTCTCAATGAGGCGGACTCGGAGGTAAATCTAATGTCCCGCGGAGATATTACAGCCGATAGTACTCATTGCCGCTTTCCCCATTATCGTGGCTCAGTGTCAAGTCGGAACGCTCGCAAACTTACAGGAGATGTCCGAACCCGTGAAAGACCGTATTCTGGAGCTGAATCTCAGTGCATCCATGATCTCCACGCCGCACTATGCATCTCTCATAGATCGACTACTCGAGCGCGACGATTTCCAGAGCATGTCTGGATCGATATCAGAGTCATTGACGGCATCGAACTACATTCCCGAAGCGGCCGCTCTATCGGTGATGTCCAACGGGATCCCCAAGGCTCTTCAAACATTCACTGAGTCTCTGGCTTATTTTATTTCGAAAAAAAACTAGTCCGCACGCGAAGATGAGGCATTGACCGGAGATTTCGTGTTAATGAAGTGGTGCAATTTTTGGTAATGTATCGATTCTAAGCGATGTACCTGAATAAAAGAAGAATGCTGTTTGAAGTTCGACTGAGGCATTGAAGCTCAACCCGAAAAATCAGCGGTTCTCCGGGCCCCACAACCGGTGGACCGAAGAAACCGAAGCTCAATGAAACCATTCGGGGGACCTCGCTTGTGACATGTGACGCTCGAATGACCCTTAAATCAGTCGGGGGGAATGAGAATCGAGAAAACGGTGTTTCGCACTCCTCGTCACCACGCGATGCCGCGATAGGTTTCTCCCTCGTTTTTCTCTCCCCAAGAGTCGACGCTCGATCGTTGGCTCTGACGTAGCTCAAGAAACACTCCCGTACGAGCTGAACTTCACGAGTCGGGCGCAAGGCATAAGTATTCCAATGCGTCCCGGAATCTGTCTTCTAGAATATTTCGTCTGTAGAATGAGAAGCGCGATCGAGTAAACTCGACCGAGACTCGTTCCGTTCATTGAGCGCTCATTGACGCGCTCGAGAGATGCGCATCCAGAGCGAGATCATTGCAGCGTCTCCCGAAGTGTCAGACTAGCGAGGAGGATGCCTGCTTGCGAGACTCCATCTCGATCAGTCGCGGCTCAGGTCGCTTTCCTTCGGGGGACTTTCCGGAAGTGCCTGAAGTTCCATGATTTCGCCTTGGCTCGACTGAATTTTTGTAACTTCAAAGCTCGCCGTTTCTCCAGCTCTGGTGTCGCGGAATGGGGCCACACAATCTCTCCTGACCAGAAATACTACTTAAGAATTCGCGTAACCCTCCGATACTCATCCGGAGCTCACTCATTTTACGCCTGCTGAATCGCTGGCGCGGCTGACGATTTTCGAATCGCGTCACGCGGTAGATTCTAGCTCTCGAGCGGTAAAGGGCTCTGCGCTCTCAGCTGTTTCTGCTCGGGCCGCTCATTTCAAGCCGATGGGAAACTTTCTCCAAAGTGCGTTCGAATCAGTCGCCAGTGTCTCCGAATAAAATTGTTCTCGGTCCCAATACCTGGAGAAACATGCGTGAGCGGTGGACCTGTGAGGAAGTCTGACCTACGCTCCTTCTCACGGGTATTCCCGAAAGATGACAATCTTGTGACAGCTCAAGAGCTCGGAATTCCCTGGCACACTCGGAATTTCAAGGCGACGAGCTGAGGAACTCTCAACGAAACATATGTGGTTTCTCTGACAGCCGGATTCGGTTCGACTTCTCCCGTGAGTCCCGTTCTCCAAAAACAAAAAAAATGAGGACCGATCGGAGCTGCGTTGTGACGGCGACTATAGCGGATTAGATAGTCGATTCTGACTAATTGAGAGAATATTTCCGGCTGGACCTTGTGATGATTTTTTTCGAATTCTCACTGCCCTCAGCGACCGCGGACAATGATGCCGATTAGTCTTCCCCCCGAACTTATATGGTGCGCCGGCTGAATCGAGCGCGAAGAGCTTTCGTAGAAGTATCCGAGATCCGGAGCAACGCCACAAACCGCGCTCAACAAACTCTGGAACAGATATATTCGATATAAGAGACTACGATCAAATTCCGCTCAGATTTCAGCGATGACGGTCTGGAAGCTGATCTGTCCTCGCGAGGATGTTTCAGAATCTGGTTCTCTGCAACTATTCCGCCACGGCACCGCTTCTCCATGTTTCACGGACCTCTGCATCTCCGTGGCGATGTACGCGCATGCCGCGTGCACGGCGTACAGTATGGGCGAGAAGAGTAACTCAGACTTCTACCGACTACCGCGAAATTGGCGTCTTCGGTCGCGGAGAATAATTGTATCCATCCTTATGGCGCTCCCTGTAATATACTTAATGGTTGTGCAACTACTACAGGGTGAGCAGGTGGAGATGGGGAGGGATCCGGCACTTGTCGTAGACTTCGGCCATAGCAAAACTCTGCTAACTTCCATCCTGACATCGATATCCCGTAGGTCACGAGCTCCATGCTCTCCGGTATGTGAGCGTCAGTTTGAGTATTCTCTGCTGGGCGTATCATCTGGCCTACTATCTTCAGCACAAGCGAAAAGCAGAGCTCCACGTTACCTTCGCCTCAGCTCTCTGTCTGATGACCTCGGCGCTGAGGAGTTACTCGCTCTTGAATGAAACCGCGGTACGGGAATCGGCTCATTGTACGATAGATAAAAATCCCCCTCCATATGAATCCTGATGATTATTATTCGCAGGCCTTGAGCTACGGGGATCCAATATCCTATTATGTTGAGCTGTACTGCAGTCTCTTCACAACTGTTCTGCTGCTCATATACAGCTGTCTGACCATCAGGCCATGGACGAGTGTGCCCTCGCCTTCATTGTCGATGGCGAATGTACTTTCTTCGTCGCTATCCGATGGGTACGTAGAATATATGCTTCGAGAAAATCACACCGAGGATCGTTTTCGAGATTTCAAGTCTCCCGAATGGAATGTATCCGAAGTCAGTCCCATCGTTCCCAACGTTTTCCCCCTTCGGACAATTGTTCTCCAGTTATGTGCGGTTCGCCATGTTGGAAGAGGAAATGGGAGCTCTCGGTCAGGCCGAAGAACACGCGAATCTGCTCTCACTGATCAGCTTCTGGTGGGTCGGACGGATGATGCGCAGAGGATTCTGTGGCTCTTTGAATCAACCATATGATCTTCATGATCTACCGAAGGGCTTGTACTCAGAGGAACTAGCTTTCAAGTAAGACTCGTCTCGATGCCTGCGCGGCTGTCTCGGGGAAATCCACGATTATCCTATGTTGACTCTATTATATCCGAAAGCTATTGTACATATTTTAAATTGACCGCGACTGAGGCACCGAATCGTTGCGCAAACTAGCTATTCCTCAGGTATGCTCAAACGCGGGGACAGCACCGCTCTCTTGTATTAACGCTGCACCATCTTCTCGGATTGCCCTTCTACTTCTTGGGGATAATAAAGCTTATGTGCGACGTGTGCACCTTTGCGGGACCGATCCTCTTGCACAAACTTGTCACCTGTTTCCAAGATAACGCCGACGTACCCGCTCAACTCGACGCCTACGTGTACGCCTCCATATTATGTAAGTCTTCTCTGCATCTTCTGCTTGGGGACGCATTTCCAAGTCTTCATGAGGAAATCGAATGCCTTCATTTTGAGACTCCGGACACGATGGCTTGCAGCTGGGACGGCCCTACTCAACGCATTGCTCAATACTCACTTCAATTACAACCTGGAAAAAATCAAACTCAAGCTGAAAACCACCTTGATCTGTGCCATTTACGAGAAGAGCCTCCGAGTCGGTCTTCAGGGACGCGAATTCCTCTCCGGCAAAGCTCTGAATCTCATGACTACGGATGCTGACCGTGTGACGAATTTCTGCGCTTCGTTCCATATGTTTTGGAGCCTGCCGCTCCAAATCGTCGTCACCTTATACATGTTATACGATCAAATGGGTCTGGCCTCGGTGGCTGGGCTGATCTTTGTTCTGATTCTCATTCCCGTTAACAAATATTTGGCCAATCGCATCGGTTTTCTGTCGGAGAGAATGATGGAGGCCAAAGATCGTAGGATATCACTCGTCCGAGAAGTACTGAGAGGTATAGTACCCATCAAGATGCACTGCTGGGCGAAACTTTTCCAAGTGAGTTCTGATGCTGCATCGCACGAAACGAAAGCATAGGCTGACCTGGAAGCGCGCGATAGATCACTTTATCTGAACTCTGTTCCGCTTATCGCAGGATAAAATAATTTCCGCCCGGATCGATGAAGTTCGCCATCTGAGAGGTCGGAAGTATCTGGATGCTTGGTGCGTTTTCTTCTGGGCTACAACGCCGGTTCTGGTCGCCGTCTTAACATTCGTCACTTGGGGCTTGATCGAAGGAAATCCCAGCGAACTGAACGCTGCGAAAGTGTTCACAACGCTTGCTCTATTCAATTTGCTGATAATGCCATTGAATGCCTTCCCATGGGTTTTGAATGGGATTGTGGAAGCCAAGGTGAGATATCTCGCTCGTGAGAAGTCCGGGAGTCTTTTGCGGGGCTGGGATCGTTTTTTGAAAAATCTCCAGTCATGAATTTCGAATTACAGGTCTCATTGAACCGAATGCAGAAACTCATGAAAATGGACGATTTCCAGCCGGGAAGCTACTATACTCAGACTGTTGGAGACAACAGCATCGTTTTGCGGTTCACCGATGCGATTTTCGTCCATCATGGTTATTCTGATGAGACAGCCGAAAACGACTCTTTCAAGTTAGGTCCTCTGACTTTCGCCTTGCGGACGGTAAGAAAAGCTAAATTGACTGCGCGCTTGCTGTGGTGACGATGTCACCCAGAATGAGCCTCGGGGGCTCGAGGGTCTCTGAAGTTCGAGGAAAGGGACTTTGCGATGAGTCGTTCCCCGGAACTCCGTTCTGAGAGGGCCAGGCTTCATTTCCAGGGTGAATTTCTCGGTGTATTCGGGGAAGTCGGCTCAGGGAAAAGCAGTTTGTTATCTGCCATAATCGGTGACATGAAGCGGGAGCAAGGGAGCATCGAGTTCTCTCACTGGAACCGGATCGTGGCTCTAGTCGCTCAGAATGTCTGGCTTCAAAAAGCCTCTATCCGTCAAAACATAACATTCGGTCAAATCTTCGACTCCGCTGTCTACAATCGAGTGCTGGAGGCTTGTGCACTAGAGGAGGATCTAAACGTAAGTTGGAAAAATGGACCACCATGACTGACCGCCTGGAGCCGTCCGATAGCTGGGGTCGCCGTCAGATATCAGAGGAAATCCGTTTTTCAGAGTTTTCCGAGCAAGGATCTGACCGACGTTGGTGAAGATGGCTCCCGTCTGAGCGGGGGTCAGCGTACGAGACTCGCTCTGGCGCGAGCAACTTATTGTGCCCTGATAAATCCGGAGAAAACGATTTTAGTGCTCCTCGATGACCCTTTCTCGAGTCTGGACGTTCAGGTAGCCAACAAAGTGTACACCGAGTGCATTTGCGGATTGTTGGCGGGAACAACACGGATTCTCGCTACGCATCATGTCAGATTTTTGGACGGCTGCACGGCGGTACTCAACTTGAAGAACGGCATCTGTGGAGCCTACGGGAACCCGGAGGATCTGATACCAAGGCTCCCAGAGACGAGGGAGAAAAAATACACTTCTCTCGTTCATCAAGACGCCGAGGTCCCGAATAGTGGAAGCCTTGACTTTGAAGAGGAGCCGAGGCAGAGAGGGACCATTTCTTCCAACACACTGCGATTTTACATCAAATCGATCGGCGTAATGGTGTCATTCGTGACCATATTGTCCATAGCTCTGATGCAAATTTCTCGAACATCGATTGACGCGTGGCTCGCGTACTTCGTTTCGATATCTGGATCCTCGGGAACGTCGTTAAGCTCGGAAAGTTCACTGGGAGCGCTCATGGGCAACTTCTTCGCGATTTACATCACTTTGGCTCTAGTCAACAGCGGTCTCACACTGATGCGAGCGTTTCTATTCGCTCGTGCTGGCTTGAGAGGTTTGTTTTCTCTTTTCAATTTCTGTCATGGATCATGGCTCCCGATGGGCGGCTAAATACAAGGAGAGCCGTCTGTAGCCATCTGCTCCGTCTGCAGGTGCAATAAGGATCCATAACGCCCTACTCGATCGTGTCCTGTCAGCCTCGCTTCCGTTCTTCGAGAAAACCCCGCTGGGACAAATTCTCAATCGGTTATCAACAGATGTCTACACAATCGATGATTCGCTGCCATTCATCGGTGAGTGACAATGAGTCCAATCACGGACAACTCGAGCTCGTCGTAATCGTTGCCCTAATTTTCATACTCCCTACCTTGGCACATGCATACTCCGTGATTACCCGAGGGGCCTGTGAGTAGCAAGTCAGTGTCTGGCAGCCGAGGTATCGAATCATGTTGGCTCGCGAGTCGCGGAATGGTTCGGAATCCCCTCCTTATCGTCTCGCCATTCTTAATGATACTGATTCAATGAAATTCCGAAACGTCCCTGGACGAGATTGAGAATTCCCCCTCAAGAGGCTGGAGATGCGAACATTCCCTTCCGCTCACCCCTGATTCTGACGTCATAGATGACGAAAAGACGCGAAACAGCAGGGGACAGCCATGGAGCTCTCTCGGAGTTCGCGCCGCTCCGTTCTAGGCCGAGCTCGGAAGCGAATATCCGAGGAACTTGGATACATCGCTCCGATCCCGTCAGTGATGGTGCTGACGCCGCCGGTGGCGATCGAATCATAGCATCCGTGAGTCGACTTCTCGGAACCTATGATGGAGGAATCGCCCTTGCTTGAGGGGAATGAAGGAGGGCTCAGAGTTTGATTCTCTAGAAAATCGATGCTCCGGGAGCCACCGGAGGCTCGGCAGGCGCCGTCCCTGATATCCTCGGATCTGGTTCGATGAGCTCTGATTCCCATGCCACAGACAGTTCTTCCTCGGCTCGAAGATCTACGTTCGCGGTCAAAATCAGGGAACAGCCCTGATTTCCCGAGCCTCCACGCTAGGATTTCCAGATAATTTTGATACGCCCTATGAGCCGCGGAGCAGAGCAGAAATGGGTACCTAGCCCCAGACTGAGCAGCATGACCTGTCGAGCGAAGGCAACTGAGAAACGATTATTTCAGCCAACATCCTCTTCGCACAAGCGTTCTCCCTTGCGGGAACGGTCTTCATCACTTGCTATGGATTGCCTTGGATCCTCCTCCTTCTCGTACCGCTGACGATGGGATACGCATCAGTCCAGAGGCGAGTTCACTCGGAATGCTTCCTAGAGCTTATAAGTAAACCTGGTTGGCTCTTCGCGACCCGGCAAGTTTCCGTTGAGCGAGCCTAAGAGGGTCTCAATTACAGATACTATCGATGGACGTCACGCGAGCTGAAACGCCTCTCCTCGGTCACGATGTCCCCCCTGTACTCCCATCTGTCCGAATCTTTCTCCGGAGCCGTTGTGATAAGGGCTTTCACTGCTGTACCACGTTTCCTTCACGATTTATTCACCAGGTCGGTTCACTTTGTGAGCATGACGACCATCTGGTTTGCTCTCGTTCTGCGGCGGAATCGCCCGCGCCGGGACTTCCGATTGATGGACTCCGATTCCAGGATGAATACGAACAATCAGTGCCAGTTCTCTTCGGTGGCAGCATCCCAATGGCTCGGCCTGCGACTCCAGATGATCGGCGTAGCTCTCACCTCAGGGGTGTCGTTCCTCTCGGTCATTGAGCATCACAGGGTGGATACGTCAACGGGGGAGATCCGGGGTGAGGAAAGGAGCTGCTTGATCCTCGTCATGATTTCCTGTTTCGCGGAAACTCTCCGTTCGGCAAGAAGAGGAGATCCTCATTAGAATCCCTGTTCCAGGCGTGAATCCAGCTATCGTGGGTCTCGTCCTGTCCAATGTACTGTCGATCACATCCCTCCTTTCGGGAGTCGTGACAGCCTTTGCCGAAACTGAGCGGGAGATGGTTTCTGTAGAACGTGCTGAAGAGTACGTCACTGGAAAAGATTTACAGCCTGATCTCGATCGAGGGGGTGGAACTACATTCGATGATGTATCCGTGGGGAGTCAACCGCCTTTTGGTTGGCCTCATTTGGGCTGGCTCAAATTCAGCAACGTGACGCTCAGGTAGGGGGGAATCTCCGTAGGAGACTCCTAAGCTCCGCTGAATATTGGAGGTCATAGATACCGTGAAGTTCCCTCATCTACAAGGTTTTCGCCACTACATTCGATCATCCTCCAGAAGGGAGAGGGGGTTTCTGAGTGAAGTGGACTTTTCCTCAAGCTCTCAGAACCCCCAGTCCTTCTGGTGGTTCTGTCTACCGCTTCCCCATTCTGCCTACCGATGATTTCCCTCTTGCTCTTCCAGCTATTCGAGCTCTGGGCCAGAAGTCCTCAAAGGAGTTTCGTTCGAAGTGCCATCTGGTCAAAAACTGGGCATCGTCGGTCGGACGGGCGCTGGCAAATCGAGCCTGTTGCAAGCCTTGTTGAAACTGCGTCCGATGAAATCCGGATCGATCTTCATCGATGGGGTGGACATCTCCGAAGTGCCTTCGCATCTGGTTCGCGAGAAACTAGCTTGTATACCACAGGAACCCTTCGTGTTTTTGGGGAGCCTTCGAGACAATTTGGACCCTATGAAAGTCCATACCGATCACGATTTATGGACTGCGCTCAGCGTTTGCTCGATGAATTCAGTTGTGCAACACAGCGGTGGTCTCGACGGTTTCAAACTCGAGGAGAAGGGAGCGAACTTGAGTTGTGGACAGAAGCAACTCATTTGCATGGCGCGGGCCATCTTGAGGAAGTCTAGAATACTATGTCTTGATGAGGCGACTTCTGGAGTGGATATGCAAACCGAAAAGATGATCCAAAGGACCTTGGACTCGAACGCTCTCCACGGCACAACCGTAATTTGGGTCGCTCACCGCGTGCAGACCGTATTGGAAACTTGCGATTTGGTAGCTGTCATGAGTTCGGGGAAAATTGTCCAATTTGGAGCGCCGAGAGAGCTCGTGCAAGTGGACGGAACTTTCAGAGTTCTCGTCAATGATAGCCATTGATAGTGATATTTGAGCTCGGAGAAGAACGCTTTCACCGCATAGCGTGGAATCGTCAGATGCCTGACTGGGAATAAACGCTCAACCGAAGTTCTTCATAGCTTCGGCCTCGGGCTGCCTTCAGAGGAGACCAGCACAGAATGATTGTCCGTGTTTGGTCCGCTCAGCTGTTTGACCATCGGAGTTGGCTCCGATAGGAGCTGAGAGTGCGCACAGATTCGTCTGTTCGAAGCGATTGCCCCAACAAGATGAAGATTTTACAGATGTTACTGATTGTCATGAATAAATGAAGCATTTGTTGCTATGTTTCTATGAGTGACCCCGAAGCTATCTATCGTAATTTCCATTCATAATCATTCTTTCAGCCTCATCAGTGTTCCCGCCGAAAGTTTTGAGTTGAGATTGACCATTTATTATTATTTATTATGATCATCAAGATAGAGGACTCCTTCTGAAGATTCTCCAGGTGGGTCCACTTCTGTAGGTCTCTATCGGGTGAGAATCGGGAACCGGGACTTCATGAGCTCATAGCTTGGAGGCTGAAGCCGGGCTCGCACAGCCCTATGGGAACGAGAGCCGCTTGGTTTGCCCGGATGCTACCAGGGGTGACTTGGCTTTGCAAAAAAACGCATATTTCATGGGAGACCGGCGCGGTCAGTGACTGCGCTCATTCGCTTTCCCCCATAGAATCCCATGTAGGAGGGGAACCGCAATTGCGGTTGATAACTGCCTTCGCAAAGCCTAGGGGTGACCACAACTCCTGAACTAATGTGGGCTCAAACCGCAGCCCGAATCCATCGCGGAGGTTTCGCTTCAATGATGAAGCCACGGATCTGATTATGAGTTCTAGTTGGCCCCTGCGAGAAACCGCGGACTCCCCAGAGGTATGTGGCTGCGGCTCCATGAAGCTCCTCCTTCTGAGCGATCCTTTCTACAATATTGGAGGGGATCCTCGGTTCTCAAAAGCACTTCCTTATCAGCACGTCCCTGCGAAAGCTTCCTCGTTGCCAGAGCGAGGGTCATAGCGAATGACTGCGGAGCAGACCAAGTTCGCAGTGCGCGCAATCGAGGTCTATCGCAACGGACTGGCGAGCCGCCCTTGGATATTCATGTTCATGGTAATAGCAGGCATCCAATGTCGCGGTGTCATGGAAATCCGAAGGAGATCGTATCACGTGCTATCGCCGATAGCGCGGATGCTTCTCTCCCGAAAAGTTTTACAGAAATATGGATCGATCTCGTGTTGAAGTTGTCGGCTGGGCGCTTCGCTCCGTTCATTCGTTTCCCATCGGTATCTGGTTTGCTAATGATGTATCTCCTAATCGGGTTTCTAATTTGTGTTCTCTGCACTCACGGTCGTTTGTCATCGTCATCGGTGGTCCCTTGTGGTCGAAGCTTCGGAAATTCATCTTCTACTGTGGACAGGCTAGAGAACTACCGACGGCGATCTCGAATCGTTGGAGGATCACCCGTGGCCAGAGGCCAAATTCCATGGCAAGTGGCCGTCAGGAGAGACTATCAGCAGTTTTGCGGGGGAGCGGTTTTATCGCCGAACTTCGTGGTGACCACGGCTCATTGTTTCCGTAAGGAAGCGCTATATGAAATATCAGCCGGCATAATTGACGTCAGGGAGGCGGGACAGTTTCGATCTATAGTGAAGAAAATCCTTCATCCCTCCTGGCGGTACGGCGTTTGGGAGAACGACATTGCTCTCTTGAGAGTGAACGAATCTTTCCGTTTCGATGCTCTTACATCACCGCTGTGTCTCCCTGATTCCGATGCCACCCTCAAAGTGGACAGTATTCTAGTTTCTGGTTGGGGTCGGCTCCGAGAGGGATATCGGCAACCGAATATTCTTCACAGTGTCGTTCTCGAAACGGCGTCCGATGAAAGATGCAAAAAAAGATTCCCCTATGCGTTCTCAAGTCGGAGCATGTTCTGTGCCCTGAGCGATAACAAAGATGCTTGCCAAGGTGATTCTGGGGCTGCCGCTGTCACCTTCGACGTCAATCGCGGTGCTTCCGTGTTAGTAGGTCTCGTGTCGTGGGGTCGTGGCTGTGCGAGGAACGATACACCAGGTGTCTACACGAAAATACAAAGTTTCCTACCCTGGATCAGGGAAACCATAAACATTCATGGGGACGATTCGGACAGAGCACAAATGGCTGAGCGGTGAGGGGAGATTTTGTGACAGGGAGGAAATCTTTGAAACAAGCACCACAGGGAACTCGACTGCACCTCGGAACCTCTCGACTGAGAGCGTGATCTCACGATTCGAATCGTCTTCTCCTCTGTATAAGGCTTGCTGCTACACTGACTGTCATCTCCTATGCTTGCCCAGTTTGCTCAAGATCACCGAGCTCCAAACAAAGCGGATAGCGTGTCATGACAGAAATCCCCAAGGGAATGGATGAAGGAGGCGGCTATCCTCCCGAGGACATCGTGAAGCTATACCGTGGAAACACTGCCCTACTGGAACAATGTTCTCGCAACTTGTGACCATGTCGATGTCGTCGACGGAATCGAGCAGACTGGCACTCGGTCGCCAGTACTAGTAGAACCGTCACTACTAAAAGATGAATTATCGCTTCCAGAGCCAATCCTTCCCTCCATGAGCCAATCTCATTCGTCTTTTCCCATAGCATCGCGAATACCTTGATTTCGAGCCCGCGTTGGAGGTGCAGCAAGAACGACAGGGAGCGTATAGATGAAAGAATTATTGGGAAGGAACAGAGAGATCGAAGAATAAAGCAGAGAGCGAAGTCGGCGACGCATCATCACTAGTCTTCATTCATCGGATCAGTGCCAGCGAAAATACCAACTCATCTGTCCATGTCCGGAATCGATTCATTCCTCCGTTGCGCGCTCCTTTTCTCGGAAGTCATACATCCGCCATTCGATCGACCGATCGCTTTCGGAAGAATGAAGCGCTCCACTGGTATTCGCTTATCTAGACATTGGGATAGGTACTTCCGGCAGCGATGATCGATGCGATATATCCTGATACCTGGTAGAGGAACGTGACCATACTCCACCGAGGGAACGATTCTCTTGCGGTGATCAGCAGGAGCCTCCGAGATCCTCGGCTAGAGGTGCAATCTCAGAGCGGGGAATGGTCTCGAGCGTTCCAAACCTAACAGCCCCGAGGGTTCTGATTCTGCCGGGTGAGCTTTCCGTGACGGCCGCGACTCGGCTCCTTGCACAAGATTCAGACAGAGATCTTTTCGGAGGCGATATTTATTGCGAACGATCGTTGTCGTCTGCCTTCAGGAGTCGCGGAGGTATCTGACAATGAGACACGTGCAAGCCGGAGGCGCTCTACATACATTCTCGGTTGACGACGAACCCAATCGGATCCCAGAGACGATGAGCATAACACGAGTCCCGCGAAAAACTTGACGCCACCTTGAATCGAGCATCCCCGTAGAGGTGTTCTATGCAAAAAGATCCGCCGATCAGAGTTCCTCGGACACAGAGCATTACATCGTTGGAAACATTCAAGGAGAATGACTCCGAATGATCTGTTATTGCAAATGACTCAGTCGTCCCCCAGCCATTTCAAATCATGATAGCTTTGATGAAATTCTCGAGCTCGAGCCTTGTCACGGTATTCTTCTCCTCTTGATTGTCAGACTAATCTGGATCTCTGGATCGGGTTCATGAATTTTCCCCACGGGTGTCATGACCCACCCTTTGCGTTACAGGCTTCCCGGCAAGTCTCACCGAATTTCCTCCCGACCGGAAGCTTTCCCCGGGCTGTCCCGAATGGAAACCCTGGCTCCGGGATTCGGTCAAATGAGGACGAATTTTCTCTCATGTTGGATTCAGTCAACGAATCGCCCTTTTCTCCCTCTCGAGTGACCGAGCTGATGCTTGCACTAAATCCAGCCTAGGGTCAGCCAATCACCAGACAGAGCATATCGAGATCGGTGCGCCGAATTATATGCAAAACGAAACACAGCGTCGCCAGGAATCCGCAGGGACCTACATTTTCCATGGGAACCCTCGGGAACTATAAGCTGTATTGTGCCCCGACTCTCTCACATTCCCACTGCCCATATGCGATGGGCAGAACATTTGTAAGACCGGTGGCCCTCAAGTTTTTCTCCGTGTCCTCCCCGCGATTGTGGCCGCTTCCTGCCGAGGAAATTTTCACCTCTGACTATGGTCTCCTCCGAGGGATGCTCCGGAGTCAAGGTCTCTCTAGGAAAGGAAGTGCTGGATATCCGTCGTACGTAAACGTCAAATCGTTCCTTTGATAGATCTTGCCGGAAGTCTCGCTATTGGAGGCTCTCTTCGGCATTGGATCCGCCATTCACTGAAGGCAGGACGGGAGCGTTGGTGTCCCGAGCATAGTACCGACCACTGAGAGTATTCGTTAGAGGAAGTTCGGTCGCATATTCCATTCGACCTTCCGATCCGATGGTATTGACCCACATGACATTGCTTGCCCGCGTAAACTGCAGTTCACCTGAATTTTAGACGGATGTTGACATTCTTTGACCGTGGCCTCTCGAGCCATCCCGCATATTGCTCTTCAATATATAAGTCACAGTTCCAGGAAGGAGATTATTCTTTCGGAGGCTCGCAACGATGGGAATGAAAGACAAGAGAATTTCCGCGGCGTTGTTGATTGTGAGCTTGTATATCGTTCCGTCTTCTACAATTTCTTGTGGGAAGGCTGCGTCTCGACATCGGACCGGGCGCATCGTTGGAGGGATGCCCGCTGAGGAGGGCCAATTCCCTTGGCAAGTGATGCTGGGAAGGTCTGTCGCTCATACGATTCTCTAGGCCCCCTCCGTGTATCGAAGCAGTGGTGGAGATACCGTAGATTCTCAGATGTGTCAGCTCAGTGAAATTTCGCAGTTCATGTTCACATGCCATCGTATCGAAGGGAATGAGGAAAATACAGAATTTCCCGTTTCAAGGAATCGTCGAGTTATCTGCGGGGGAGCAGTAGTCGCGCCAAACTTCGTCCTGACGGCTGCTCACTGCATCGCGGACATGAATCCGAAAACATTCCAGCTTGTGACCGGAGCTCTTCGGAAAGAAGATGTAGGCTCCCTCCCCCGCGTGCAAGTCCGAAGGGTGAGAAAATCTTCAGCTTGTGCTCAAACATGTCTCTGTCTGGAGAGTCATCCGTAGAGGGTTCTTGCAGGTGAAAAGATTCATCGTTCATCCGAGTTGGAAATCTAATGTGATGTCGCTCAAGCACGATGTCGCTCTAGTCCAAGTGAATTCCTCCTTCTTCTTCGATCCCTCAACATCGCCTGCCTGTCTACCTTCGACAGAAAATTGGGATCAGTCGGCGATAAAGCTTCTCTCGGTGTCAGGCTTCGGAACCACAACGGAACAAGGAGAGCTCTCGTCGCAGCTCCTATACACTACGGTGATTTTTCCGTGAATTCTTGGACTCCCCCCGCCTCCCCTTCGCTCATAATCCATGGATAGAGTCACGCTGGCCATGGAGTCACGCTGGTTTAAGTGGAGAATGCCTTGATTTGCAGGTGCCCGTGATCTCTGATTCAGAATGCAAGTCTATCTATCCGTCCCTTTTCGACAATTCGACGATGTTCTGCGCTAAGACGGTGGAGGGAGGACGAGACTCTTGCCAAGGCGATTCTGGGGGTCCTGCCGTCGTTGAGGATCTTGATAAGTTCCATGTGAGTGGAATCGTTTCCTGGGGCTTAGGCTGCGGACGACGCAAGTATCCGGGAGTCTACACAAAGGTGGCGAAATACTTGCCGTGGATCTCAGCGAATATCATGCACTTCGGATCTGCAGACGATAGTGAGCTTTTAGCTCAGCAATTCACCCCTGGACAGATGGCGAAATTTAGATCCTATGCCCAAAACCTTTTCGGGAGTGACTCCAATAGGAACACTCAAAAAGACCCGACTTGGTTGAACTCCGTTTTCCAGACCATGATCTCGAGTGTAGGTTGAGTTTTCCAGTGAACGTGCATCGTGCTCAAAAGTACATCGGGAGGTACTCTTGACTCGATCACACATCCAGTCGGAGGGTTGTCTTCGATGGCAGACGAGACGGCGAGCGCGATCGAGATGGCGAAGGAACCTACATATGCCTCGGGGCTCAAATTGAGGTCGTCAGTCGGCCATCCTTGTCGCCGGCGCTAGATAGTTCGAATCAATCGGAACCGGTCTCCCATTAATTCCTCACCCAGAGACCTTCGCGGTGTATTGGACATCACTCGCATCTCCTCACATTGCGTAGAACCCTATTCGAGTCCGCAGAAGCAAACAGAGGGTCCATTATCCGGTGCTCTTCGACTCCTTATCCGAGGAGATTTCTGGCTCGATGCCAGTCGCGTTAGGCAGTATCGATGCTCTGCTCGCGCTAATTCTCATGTCGCCCAGGACCCAGCCCCGAATCTGGCTCAAAATGATCGCTCGAATCGAATGTCCGCGTAATTGGAGTCTCCTACGTCGGTTGTGATGATTCTTTCAATTGAGCTCACTTTCGATGAGCTCCCTCTCTCCATCAATTAGAGGTTTTGAAACGGGAGAGAGACTCTTTGCTTCTCGAGTTTGGAGCGAACTCAAGCTTGGAAGAGATTCGACTCATCATTGTCAGAGACATACGACTCATTGTGTACAAATTGGCGGGGTCTGATATACATTTCCATCATCTGCGGACTTATACACACTGATCCTGATACAGCTTTCGTTCGACGCGATACGACGAGAGCTTAGTCAATGCGATGGAATAAAAACGAAGAGAATTGAAACGATTATCGTGCTGATTCACTCTCTCTCCCATGAATAGACATTCGAAAGATAAGCTGGGAGTTTAAGAAACCATGTGGGAGGGATAGAACACCGTAGGAGGGATAGATTCCGAGAGCGAAATGTTGTTGGAGGGGGGAACGAAGGGCCCTGACTCTAAATCTTCGACAATGGACTAAACGGGGAAGACATTTTCGGGATCGATCCAGACACTACAGAATAGGCGGTTTCTCGGAAGGAGATCATGCTTCTGCTGTCCATCGATGATGCTCGCTCTCACCGCCCTATGACCGACGACACAATAGAGATTAATGAATATATCCCATATTTTATTTACACATGCGCTCCCTCAAAGTATGATTCGAAGAAGGGAGGACGACTCCTCAGAGGAAATCTACACAATATTACAGTAGACTTATCGGGCCAGATGGCTTTTTTCCTATACAGGTTTGAGAACGTAACATCGTAGAGCCCAATGACCTGCGCTGTTTATCACTGACTTCGACGCGGGTCGGAGACTTTCCGATCATTCGGAGGGCGAGTCCATTCCACAGAGCTGATTATTCATCGATCAAACATGAATGTGATTTTCCGCGAATGAGCCTTGTTTATATCATGGCTTTCAACTGCTTGTGAAGTGATAACAGCTATAAACTGACTTTGTTGGGGACTATCAAGTTCCTCACTCAATACAGGGACCGCAGAGCAGAAAAATCTTATGAGATGAGCTGTTTCATTTCATGAGACTGCGATAAAAGAACCAGGGAACGGCTGAGTAGATGCATATCGGAGCCTCATCGGACAGATAACTCTTCATGTCGAGCTTGCTTGCTGCATCTGTGAGGATCGGTTGTTATTGTTATGATCATCCTGTACGGAACGGGGTTTCTTTTGTTTCTTCCTAGGGAAGGCCGCTAACAAGTTCCGAGCGACATAGCCCTCTTCACCGTTGGATTTCCTACACCAATACCATTCTTTCTCTTTGCCATCACCCTGGCGTATAACAGTTAAAATCTCATCACGATCGAAAGTCAGTTCGTCTTCATTTTCCTTATCGTATCCGAACATCGCGTGCACCTTTCCATCGAGCCTGTTTTGTACGCCGACGAGGTACTCGAAACATTCTTGGTAGCCCTCTTCATTCTTCTCACACTTCTCCAATGGTATGTCCTTTTCGCCATAGGTCATGGCGAATACGCAAGCTCCGCCTTCGATGAGAGCCCGTGCTATGCGGACGTTATTGCAGGATGCTGCACAGTGCAACGGGGTCCATCCGTCGGCGTCTTGAGCGTTCACATCGCAACCCGCTTCGATGAGGTAGAGCACGACATCCTCGTGATTTGCGCAGATGGCGTTGTGGAGTGCGGTGATTCCTTCGTCGTTGCCCTGATCCGGATCGGGGATGGTTTCGACGATTTTCGCCACGAGATCCAATTCTCCCTCGAGAGCAGCGTCCAGGAGCAGAGCCAGCGGGTCGAAACTGACTCTACGGTTTGATTTCTTATCTTTCACTGGTTTCGTCCCGCCGTCATCTCGTAGTTCGCTTTCGGCTTTCGCTTGTGTACCGGAAACAGCCGCCGACAGGGCCGCGGACGCCGCCGTGAAGGGACGGTTTATCTTGCTGTTTGGAGGGAGCGTATTCCTGTATTTGAGGGGCTGACCTCCTTGGGGGCTGCCCTCGAAATATTCATTAGTTGCCTTCTTTTTGTCGAGTCTGTCTTTCAGTTGTTGTACGTAACCTGCGCTACGTTCAAGCTCGTCCAGCTGAGTTGCTAGAATATCGACCCTCTGCACGAGTGCATTGAAGTCCGTCTGTTTTTGTCGGAATATTCCGGCAAGCTGGTCGAGCTCAACTCTCAGCATGGCATTCTTGTTCTCCTGCTCTTCAACTTGTTCCCGATGAGCCTTCAGGGAACGGACTTTCGCCTCGACAGCATGGAGTTTTCCCGCGTCTCGGAGAACCTCCAAACGTTTTTCTTTCGTGAGCATCAGCTCGTGATGGATATCGAGCTTCTGCTGCTGGCGCATCACAATCTCATTGAGACGATTCATTCTCACCATTTTCCTGACAGTCACGCACCTTCAGATCGAAAACCTACACTCTCTGAACCAGTCCGGGCTCACCAGAAGTGCATCTCGATTTGAAATGCGGGCGATTCCAAGCTATCCTTCGAACTCTCCTGGAGGCTACGCCGAATGATGGGGCGATGCTTTTCAAAGTGTCATCGGGGGCAAAGCGAGCCGCAGGCTCCGAATGGTCGAACATTCAAAAACTCACTCGAGAGGTGGGATACCGCTGTGAGTACCACTCCTGCCAACGGAGTACGATAACAGAACGATTTTTTTGCGATTTCTGTATTCCGAACTGAAATCCGGCTCGCTCGATTGTTCGTTGCGCTTCCTCCGAGCTCGTCTGTGAGGCGAGGATCGTGTAACATTCAACGTATGCTGGCCAATGGGGAAAGCGTACGTAAAGAACACGGGGTAAAACTCTGCACAAATGGAATCTGTTGTTGGGAGAGCGAAGTATACGATGATGTCGATGATCTTTGCTGGTGGTGCGACCCAGATACAGCGATCCCCACATTACCATTCCGACTTTTGGCTCCGACATCTAGGGGCTCGATGCGTGGTGGTGGCCGATGGATGCACGATGCCGGCTGAGAATGGATCCAGGCGGATAATGCGGCCTTAAGAGAGTGATGTTGATAAACACCGGTGTATTACCGATGTACACCGTACGGACGGAGCACACACCGGGCTCGCTCCGATGAGTCTTCTAAATCGCCCGATGCCATCGGATCAAAACGGTTCCTGGAAATTTCCTTTCTACCGAAGCCGTCAGAGGCAATGATATTCGCCCATCTCGAACAGAGGATTCGCTCTTAAAGAATGGCGAACGGAATTCTTCACTTTTTCCGGCCGTTCCGTGAAATGAAACTATGGATCGATCCCGAGGATTGAGAAAAGAGTTCTCGATACCCACCTACCTCGGTGGAGCGGCCTCAAAGGAAGCGGTTCAGGTTGATACATTCCAGAGAATACCTTCCGATAATCGAGGGTATCTCGAAGAAATTTGAGATCGAATCTACCGCAATCTCCAGAATCCTAAATTAGGCCTGTTCGCCCCCGAACTCCTCGAGGAACTCCGAAGAAAAGCCCCGAGCCCCCCCATCCCTTCTCGATTGTGCGGAGCGCGTTACGCTGAACTTAGCCGTCGCCATGAATCACGATCATCATTCTCACTCTCGGAATGGAATCACATGTACGGCTTCGAAGGAATGGATATGATCGAAAATGATGGAATGAGCGTGATCCCTTCGGATATCGCGGGCTGATCCAGACCTCCCCGGAAACGAGTGTGAGTATCCTTATGTGGATAATGTACTCAGGGCTATTGACAGAATGCGGTGAATCAGCTCCCGACTGGCATATCTCCTGCTGAGAGATATAAATACGTCTCGATAATTTACAGTAGAATGGGTAATGAGGCCTCGCGTCGAGCCGGAGCTCGAGCTAGCTCTTCCGACGATCCTCCATACGCGACGGCGACTCAACCAATAGGCGAGTCGCCGCGTCGCATCCTCAAGACCCATTCGCTCTCGGCCGCACCGAAGCCGACGAGTGCATTCCTCCAAAGAAACTCTCCCAAGTCAAGCTCCTTGCGACACTCAATCGTCACTGTACACGAGGGAAATGCTGAAGAGGACACCCTGCGCAACGATGCTGCCATGATTGCCCTGCACAATGTGCCACAATTCTTCCCGATTATCCGGGAAACCGTGAGGAATCCAGTCATGAGAGAGATCAACACCCCGACGAAACTCGATGTTCTGGCGGCGCATTCTCTGGTCACGAAGTACCAGACCGTCCTGAGAGAAAACGCAGAGGACATAGCTCGAAATCAGCAGCAGCTTTCGCAACGTGTTCAGGACATGGACTACGCGATCGGAACTCTCCACCAGGTACCGAGTTTCTCAGGTCGCCATCGGCGTGGGGGAGAGCAACTCGTTCTCTTCAGGCCAGCAACTTCACCCCTGCCCTCTCTTTTCAGATCCTCCAGGAGAAATCGCGAAAATTGGCCAAACAAACAGAGCAGCTAAGCTCGATCAGTCAAATCAAAGCTTTATTGAACTCCAGCAAGATGTGCCTGCGGAAGTCGGAAGAGACCCTGAACCGCATCAATGGATGCTTGCCTCCGGAGCACCGCATGGAAAAATTGAGCATCCATCTGGACTCCGTACCGAGTGGCGAAGGGTCAAGAATTCTTCCCCGTGATTGAAGGTCCACCCCTGAAAACACATGTCGATTATACTGTGATAGCGGATTCTGCTCATTCTAGCAGTGAAACCGATTCCATGTTGTGTCATATATTTGCGAGTGACTGCTCTCCTCGACGATGAGCCACGCGATGCCTCTGATACCGGTCTCGACGTGTTGATAAGTGAATAAAAGAAATTATGTGCGTAACTCTTCTGCGGCCGAGAAGCCTATTATCTAATTTCACTCTGGAGTAGAGCCTTCGAATCAGAACGTCCCACGAGCTTCGTGGAGAGCTGATCCGTCGCCTCGATCTACGGAATGAGAGTACAATGCAGGCAGACTTCCGTGAGACCCGATATACATATGAGGGAATTCACCCAAGCACACAGAGGCAAGCACAAGCGAGGAAGGGGAACGTGAGAGGTGAGGTTGGTATTCTCACCCTGCGCGCCAGGTGGGCGAAAAAGCTAAAGTGTTTCGGAAGAAAATCAGAACAGGATCGCCGCCACTTCGCTGATGTTGACAAAGTCAAGGAAGTGAAGAGGCGGAGAGAGAAGAGGGAGGGAAGACGTCCCCTGAAACCCCGGGCGTACACTAACGTCACTCGTAAATCCCCCCTTTGGTCGAGAAAACAGGAAATCTTCGGAGGAATTTCGAATAGAGCGCTCATGGGGTCAGGCTTCCCCGGATCCACATGGCATCAAGTCGGAGTCGGTCTCTTTGAGACATCGCTGATAACTGATTGCCCCTCTTTGCCTACTCTCAGATGACTCGATGTCGTTCCTGAATTCCTCTTATTCGCGCACAGGAACTTCACGCTCGAGCCGAATTTCCGAATGAGCATTTTTGGCGAGCAAGGAAGTTCTCGCAGAAGAGTCATCAAGTCCAAATATGATGACTCGGGTAGCCGAGCTCTTCCCCGGGGCGCCATGGAAGAATATATCGCTACCGCGATCACCGCGGTCTCCTGTCAATGTGACCATTCGATGAAATCACACTCAGCCCCGAAGAAGTCGAGTCAGGGCAGAGAGGAATAATTCGGAAACAAAGTTCTTGTCCATATTGATTGCCCTCTCATATACACGTACACGATCTGGCCTGGGAGAGTTGCATGCTATTGCTTATCATCGACTGAAAAACACGCTGACTACATGCATGCATGCAAGAGGAAGTCGAGCAGATTCAATGAAAGCAGTCGCACGCAGAGCCCGTAGCCGTACTTTCCAATCTGATGCTGGGAGGGGGCGCTCACGTCTGCGCGCTCCCCAGAGTGGACGCATACATTTAGAGAGTTACGCTCTCGCGCTCCTCGACATCTTGCTGCATTACTTCTCGTTCGAAACGGAACCAAGTTCTCGTCGGGAAAACGTAAGTTCCCCCTTACTTTCCATCATATTGGAAGATTCGCCACGGATGAGTCCTAGTATTCGTTTCCGAGAGCAGAGGGAGTTTTTTCTGAAGCTCCCCCCGGAAAAAGTCGAGATCGACACCGACGCAAAGTAGAGGTATATTCTGTTGGCCCCGGTCGAGTCTTTCCGGCTCACAATTCGATATGAGAAATGATTTTTACACGGCAGTGCTGCCGGCGTCGATGGTCATTGAACGAATCGATCATTCATCCCTTGCCGAATACAGAGCCGATTCGAGTCAAACTGCACCTCCCCGCTGATAATATTGTGCATAGCGTGCGCGGACGCAGCGTCGGAAGGTCGTTAAAAGTCAGTAAGCGAGATACAAGAATATCGGAAAGCTCCACTCCCCGTAGGAATGATCCGTTTCCCTCAAGATGGGACATGGTCCTCCACGGGAGTCAGACTAGGCGTTCGGACAGGTCTGATGTGCCATACGTTCGCAGCTGGCTACGTGGACGCCGTTGACAATTTTGGGCCGTCTCCAAGGTTACTCGGGTATCGGTCTTCGACCGAGGTCGTGGTTCCTATGACGAGCGTGACGCGATCTTGATCAGCGGATTAAACACTGGGATTCATATTTGAAACAGATGCAAGAGCAGCAACTGGAGCAGGCGCCAGGCGGGGTCTCGGCCCCAGCAGCAGGCGGAGGAGGTGGTCTCGACGAAATCGAATTGTCTATGGCTGACAAGATCAGACGTCTGGTTTCCAGCGATGAGGAATGGGAAGCGGTTCTCCTGCAGAAGATGGAGGAAAAGAGGAATAGGGGTCAGTCCGTAGATGGAACTAGGGTGACTTTGTCTGATTCGGAATCGCTTGTTCGATCACAAATGACTGAACGAAGGCTGGGTCCATGACGCTTTGATGTCCACAGAACAAGGCATCGAAACTCCGCAACCGACTGCTACACCAATGCAACAGGCAGCTGCAATAGGCGGTGCTCTCGGGAATCGGGTAACCGGTTTGTTCGGCAAAGCGAAAGGAATGGTACCCCCTGTGAATATTCCGGTCAGCATGCCGAATATCCCGATACCAGGATTGAAGAAAGGTACTGGTAGACTCACAATCGTACGAACCCGGCATTCTCTTTCCCTCCCCGCGTGTCGGAAGCCCCTGATGTTGATGAATGCTGATTTCTGTTTGACGTTTTGCAGGAGCAGCTGCTGGAGCTGAAGGAGCTGTCGAGGGCGGGGGCGAGTACACTCAGATGGGCAGCGAGTGAGCACTGCCCGCAAGGCCGAAAATTCCGACTGGAACATCATGGATGCTCCCGCTAGGAGGCAGGATGGACATAATCGCGCTCATTCGGTAGTCAAAATTGGATCCCCGAATAATATCACTTTGTAGCTGGAGAGTGTTCGAGCTGGGTTGAAGAAAGAAATGTCAACCATTGGAAAATTCGAATGCTTGAGATTCGCCGGGAATGGTCGCCGCAAAAGAGTTTTTCTGACACATTCCTAGGAAACTTCTTCCCTCGAAGGCAATAGGAATTTTTGACTTCCTGACGACCATCTGATAGTGTTGTCGCCGAGTCGTTCGAAGTTTAGATGACCGAAGCAGATGAATGCTTCTACGCCGCTACAGATGAAGCACTATTCCGATTAGGTTTTCTTTTGGATGTCGAGAGACGTTTAAGAACCTCTCCCACGTGGGTTTTGGGATCAGCGCTCTCTCGGAAACAGCAGAAAATTGCTCATCGTTAGCGTTACTTTTTGTCACAATTAGCAAGGTTTCACGGAGTCCCCGCATTACATCTGAACGACTATGTGCATAATATGAGAAATATTATTGAAGATTTTTAATAGCGTAATATGGTTGGTTGCATGTTTGTTGTATGCTCTGCTGGAGGAGTTGATGTAAGTGGGTGAGTTGCATTGCTGTTTCGTGAGCCTTAGGCTGTCAATAAAGCTGGTGCTAAAGAGTTATAGTCTGATCGAAGTACTCTTGGATTCTGACACGTTCGGTGGGGAGGAACGATCGGCGACTGATCGTCGGAGGAACGGCTCGCTCCCGTGCCGTGTCCAGGAAGCTTTTGTCAGCGCGTTCCTTCCCCATCGGAGGTTCCGATCATGAACACTGTAAGCTGGGCGTGGAGGAGTCCGAGAGTCGACGCGCAGTCGAATTCCTAAGATTTCTGTCTTCTTCGAATATTGTCCGATCCGGACCTTCTCCTTCAACGGCGACCGGGGCTGCTCCAATAGACCTCGAAGGCGTTATCTCGGAGCCAGAACTTGTAGAGAGCCGACAATTGACGAAACTAGGGTATGCGTATACGTGTATAGCCTGGATCTGACCGACAGTAACATGGGTCACCCAATTGGGGAGAACCTTGCCAGGGGTGAAGAGGACTGTAGATCTCTCCCAGATCCCTGACAATCGCCCGACCCCTCCGTTCGGATATATCGAGCTGATCCGTCTGGCAAGCAGAGACCTGACAACGGTGATGCTCGGCGCCGAATATTGTGTGTCCATTTCTGGAGCCGGTTCGGGATCGTGCCCATCGGAATCCAACACGACCGATTCTCTCCTAATTACTGCGACGGAATGCTCCATCTGAGAAACTGCTATCCTGCCTCGGAGGATTCTCTACATCTGGTTTCTGGCCGCGCCCTTCGGGAGTGCGAGAACTCCGGACCGACGGGGTTTTCCCTTCTCTCACGGGAATTCTTCCATCTGAGGGATCTCAGAACGGTCCCGAGACAGGCGCACTAGGAGAGAGGGTCTCGTCTGAAGAGTAAAGGACAACTTGCTCAGGGAGAATATGCTCCGAGAACTCCGACGGGGAAAAATCGCCTTTCGAATCACAGAAATTAATGTCTTCCACTAGGGGATGAATTCCACCCATTAGCTTCGCATCGCGGGGAGATAGCTCTTCTCTTCCTTCGGCAGCTCTCGACTTCACCTGCGATGCCTGAACTCGTTATGAAGATCGTCGCCCGTGCTGCTCCTGACTCGATGAGTGAATTCAGAGTTCTCGGTTCCCTCGAGGGCAACCTCGAGCCGGGAAGACGTGAGACCCTGTTCTCTATAGGGACGGGCTCTCCAGACCAAGAGGCTCGAGCGTTCGAGAGCCCGAGAGAAGGACATCGAATGCCCCGCGGATTAATTTCCGATGAATTAAAAACTCGGTCATGACCGAAACAATCGGAGAATCTTAGGTGGGGTAGCTATTCCTATCAAATCGAAGAATCCGGTCCGCATCGTATGGACCAACTAGAAGGGTCGTTCGGATCGGGTCGCCTCGACCGATTTCTCTGCTCGCCCGATGAAGGTCGACGTCAGCACGCTCTCCCCAGAAGACAACGAAAATTCCGAGCATCCAGGTTTCAAGATGCATAAGCGCATCTCATGCGATTTATTCGACAGCTCTTATTAAAGTAATCAAAATAGCTCATCTTGTTCACTAAAATTCCGATCGTTCTGGAAGGCGCATTCTGGTCTCGAAGAGACCGCCGCCTCCCAAGACATATCGTTGCCGTCATATTCATCGGAACAAACGATGGAACAAACGGAACATCGTCGGGATGTTATCGAGAGTCATGTAGCATGACTATTTCTTACGCCAATTATTGTCGTTTGATGATGCACTTCCGGATCCTGCCGCCCTAGAAGGAAATTGTTGTCTCGGGTTCTTAATCCGATCTCCAGAGTCTTGATTATCACGATCACTGCTGGCTTGCGGGGCACGTTCCCATCTCTCATTCGAAGGAGCGGTGTTACTCGAGCCCCCAAAACCCATGCTTTTCCGGGTGGGTGGGCCATCATCTCTCTGAACTCGACCCCGGGAGCCGGAATTGTTATTCGTATCGTCATTCGTGCTCCCACGGTTTCGCCACATATCTATGGGTTCGCGCTTCGAAGACCTCTCTTTTTCTCTGATGGTAGCCAGGTCTCGTCCCTCTCGGCCTCACGCTTGTCC